GCGACTCCTTAAAAGCCTGCACAGGCAGTACTTATTAGTATACTAAGTACTGGCCTTAGTAAGCATGATAACTAGAATTAGCACTTCTAGCGTAGGCATCATCTATTTCCGTACAGCTCGATGGATCGAGTTGAGAGTGCGGAAACCAAGGCAAACATAGCTTTGCTCAGGACCCCAAGCAGGTACTTACCCGAAATAGTTAAACCCAGCTTCACATTCCTTGTTCAGACCGAGGGAATATGAGCCCTAGCTTTGGCTTAGTCAGCGTCACCTCTGACAAATGGTGGCGTCAGTGCTAGCATCAGTACTACAACAGTTTTTGTAGAGATTGAAGGAATATGAGCCCAGTGTTGATTTTAATCAGCATCACTTCTGACATACAAAACAGTCAGTAAAAGTACTAGCAAACACTGTCACCCAGCTACACCCTAGTTAGCAGTATTAGAAGTAGCAGCATTGGTGGTAGCAGTACCAGTCCTGGCTGACTAAAGTCTGGCTAGAAGCCTACTATAGGTGAGTGAGGGCAGACAGTGCAGTAGTACCCACGCTAAGTCTACCGTCACTAAATACTTAGTTAGGCGGTGTTTTTCAGCTGTGGCCTACGCTTTCTCCCTGCTCAGTCATCTCGACTTTGTCTTGTCACAGTTTTATTCATTTGAGAAATTTTAGCGTGGGGTAAATGGCGGCGCGTCTACTTTCACTATACCTGACCACAGTCACCGTCCGTGCTCTCGGGCAAATGGGTCCACTGTAGCACCAGGGCTTTCAGCTACTGCTTGTGCTGCCAGCCTTGTTGTTGAGATTGAGGGGATATGAACCCTGTGCTGACCTTAACCAGCGTCACTTCTGACTTACAATACAGCATGAAATAGTAGCAGCAAAAATATCACTCAACTGCTGTTGTGTCCCCGGCTGTACGTATGAGTTAGAAGGCAGGGAGGATAAACTAGAATAGTTTACTATAACAATTCCTGCGAACACATCAATTCTGCACGTGTCAGTCGACTTGTTCCGTGTTCTCCAGCAAGTCGTCTGTCGTTGCGTCACGGCTTTCCCGGCTTCAGCAAGTCCCGCCTCCCGTGTCCGCTCTCGCATTTGAAGGCAATCGGTCCGTGCCCGCTTTGTCTCTTCTTATTCGTCCCTCTGGGTAGCCATCGGATGCTGGTTGACCTCTCAAGGACATGCATAATTCGGCGGCGTTCTTACCCGTGGTCACAGCTCTTTGTGTCTGTGCGCTTACCTCTGTTCGCGCGCGTTTGTCTGGTGTGACCTCTGGGTGTCTGTCTGTCTGTCTGAATGGATGGAATGCATGGGTGGCGGCTCACGTGTTCGGCTGCCCTAACAACTGCACCCTAGTAATAGTAGTATTAGAAATAGCAGTAGTGCTAGTAGCAGTACGAGCCCTAGCTTCTTAGAAGCAGGCTAGACACCTACTATAAGTGAGTGAGGGTAGACAGTGCAGTAGTACCCGCGCAAGGTCTACTGTCACTAAAGATTAAGTCAGCGGTA